GACGGATGGCTCATGAGCTTCAATGAACTCAGGCATGCCACACCCACAGCTCCACACACACACACGCACAGATTGCAAGTCCCTTTGTGTTCCCCCTATGGGGTTTTCTGTGTATTTGGATAATGTAAATATGTGTCTATCTATATATGAATCAGTAAGCAATTATCGGGTCGCCCTTTTCCCCCATGGGATCCCCAATGCTGAGGCATACAATGGCTAACTTCTTAGATTAGCTGGTGCTCATCGCGCTGACCATATAACATGACAATGGACCACCTTTTAGTGTCCTACGTGTAGGGCCCATCTGGCTTCATGTATCTCCTACTCCTGTCGGCGGCGTGTCTGGCCATGGTGACGGTGACGGACATGCAGGATGGCTCACAGGTGGAGGAGGATGAGCAAAGCTGGGGCAAATGGGGTCGCCCGAAAGAATCTCGGGCATAAATATTGAGGTGTGTTTTTTTTTAGCAGTACATGGAGCTGGTTGTCCATTAAAGCCCATGTCTCCTGCATGGTGTTAGCGAAACCGCTGCTGAGGAGCCAGGCCATCCGCCTCCTGGACATCATGCGTCAGCTGCAACTCATGAAGGATCCCAGGCTGATGCTGATGCTCCTGAATCTCATTTGCAGTGGTCTGCGGATACGTCTGATGGGGCTGCAGCATCATGGGGAATCAGTATGTTATGTATGTTAAGCGTTCAGTATGTTAAGGTAAATTGTTGAAGGCTTTCATGTTCATGCTGAAAGCTTCCACCAACAACACATTTTCCTTTGAAAGAGGTCCTCGGGGTGAAAGGGGTCCATTCACCCTGAGGACCCCTTTCAAGGGAAATCTTGTTCAACTTTGAATGCAGAACTTGGCGCATCACCCAAACTCAGGAGGTGCACGACGATGGCGATGACATCCCGGAGCACTTGGACAGAGAGAAGGGCATTTGGGTCGCTTGGCTTCATGCATGGATATAGTTCATGAGATTTCGTATTCTGGAACAGCCAACAATGCTAGCTGGGTGCAACAACAGCCTCATGGAAACAAGAATGCATTGAGTGTAGACAATCATCCACAGTTCTGCAAATGGAGACGTTTCACACACACACACACATGTACTTTCTCACTGTATGTAGTTTGTCCTCATTGGCCATGAGGCTGACAAAAGCTCTTCCGAGGACACGCACATATGTGAAACCAGTCTTTTGTTGCATCTCGTGCTGGTAAACGTATAAATGTGTAGGGCATACCATTTTGGAGATGGCGATGGAGAGAGAGAGAGAGAGATACCATTTTGTTTACTTGTGACATTCCTTCTGCAGGAGTCATGGCATCCGGAAGAGGCTCAGAAGAGGCTCAGAAGCGGCCAAAAGTCAAGGCAATGCCCAGGAAGCCATCCCACCCGGCAAACCCGCCGAGCTGGACGCAGAATCCCCGGCAGGAGTGCATCGTGCAGGGCTGTGTGGTTGAGAAATCTCTTCATGATTATGGCATGGTTTCTGCATGTGTATCGATATAGAGGTGACCTCACATGATTATATTGAATTCCAAGTCACATGTTCCAACACGGTGCATGGTCAGGATCACATGCAGCAGCTGCTCTCCCCGGCGCCTCTGCCACCACCACCACCACCACCTGCGTTTCCACCAGTGCAACCGGCAGAAGTGCAGCAGGTGGTTTGGTGGGGTGGAAAGAAGGACTGTATGGGCATGCTGATCTTATAGCCATTCATACCATATATACTGATTGGCGTGGATTCCTCACTCCTTTCATTTTCCCATCCATGCTCCATTGCAGGAGGTGTGGCACAATGAGATGGTCTTCGTGGACGGCCACTGGATCAGCAGTAGCCAGATCGAAGAGTACCGGCATGGGACATCGACACGAGAGAGGTCGAGACACCGAGGCGGAGCTCAGGTGAGGGCCAAGGCAGCTTGGATTATGCGTTTGTTTCCCCATTTGAAATATCTTCCAATATCCCCCAATAAATATCTATAAAAGTATGTGTATAGATCTATGTATATATATATATATATATATATATATGTATATGTATATGTATGTGTGTGTGTACATATAGTATTCATGTCTTTGATTTAGGGCATAAAAACCAATTTGAGTTGCACATGCATGCAGCTATCCAACAGCCAAACATATATACATACATACATATATATATATAGAAATGTATATATAGAAATGTATTTGTATATCTTCATGTAGCTCAGTTGGATGTCTGCTGTATACAATCACCGCTCACTGATCTTCTGCATCTTGTATCTAAGGAGCAGTACGCATCTCTCCGAGATACCCAGAGCGAAGTTGCCTGGCAGCATGCTCCTTTATTATATGATTCTTTGTCGTCCATGTTCACAAATCATCCATTGGCATTTGATGATTGGCATTTGATGACAATCCTTAACTCCGCATGGCACATGATCCTTCCACATCATTTCTCCGTGGACTATCTCAGGCTGCATCGAGCTCGACCATGAGCAATGCAGAGCGGGCGAATGTGATAGCAGCGTGCCGTGATGTGGCAGCATCGCTGAAAGAAGCATGCAAAAGGCGATAGCAGATAGCACTTCATGCAGGGAGCCCATGATGGATGGAAGTGAAACATGATTTCATTCACAGAACATTCACCTCCACTGACATGTGCACGGGGGGGGCACAGATGCCACTAAAAGACTTTAGCTCTAAAGGCTTACTTTCATTGATCCAAAAGGTTTCCATGCATGCAAGTGCAGGAGACAATTTAGATTGTCCCATGTTCGGCCAGGGACATGGGGCTCGCGTACCATAGCACAGCCATGATCCGGCACAACACCTCTAGATACATGTTAGCAGGCTAAACAGGTTCAAAGTCGAATTGAAGGGAATGCAGATATCACAATCACCCATTGATTAAACGACTCACATGGGTAATATACCTCTACAACTCCAAAGAAAACACATTGAAAAAAACAGTTTCAGGGGTTGTGACAGCATGGTGTTGCGCCACAAGGATCATTCGGTTCTGGCACAGGTCACGTTTGTGATGCATACATTAGTTCTGGCATAACTCATGATCAAATGCACTTAGCTTTATAAAATGAGTTTATGATTTTTCACATGTTTTTTGGTTCATTGTGGTGACCAGCTCGGAACCAGCATGCTTGCAAGTGTTTTCAGTTTGCATCGGCAATCCAAGTCAAAATGTGAAGCATCATGCGCAACTCAAATTTATATATAACATGTTTGAACCTTCACAAGCTATATTTAAAAAAACATGTAAGGTATTCTGAACGATTGCCAATGCTTAATTGGTGGTATGGGCTGCACAGTAAAGCACATGTGCCGCCGAGAAGGTGGAAACTGAATGATTGTACTTCCAACGCATTCTATTTTGATTTCAACCAACATGTCCAGAAACTGTTGGATAAAGAGACAACAAAATGTCTTTTTCAGAAGTGGTTTCCAATCTTCATAATTGCCCTGACTTTGGCGGGCGTCAGACCTTCGCGTCGACACTTTAGCATGCGGTGTCAAAAAAGGATCCGTGCTTCCTACATGCGGCTTTCCGAGGAACAGGTGCATGAGAATGTTCCCCATACAACTCATTCTAACTGATTCGTATATAACATCCACTTTTCATATACTCTCCCCATATATATACATATATATATACATATATATATATTATTGGTTTCATCATTGATATCTACAGAAGTGCATGTGGACCACCACCGCGTGTCAGGACCACCTTTCTGCGGCAGCTCGTCTATATTGGAGGTATGCATGGTGCATTGATCATGGCATTTGTCAGATCACCTAAGGGTATTGAGTGAGTGCATCAGCATGTCCAAGAGGGTTTGGAGGGGTAATTAATGGGTCTTGGAATAGGAGTCACACAGGAAGTACATGCGAGCAACTGCCCAGCATGCTTAATGTATATAGCTTCACAACTGATGAATCTTTGAGCTCTCCCACCACCCCCCTTTTCGTGACCCATGATACCTCGTTGCCCAACCCGCATGCAGGAACATTGCAATTGGCCCAATGCTGTGCTGGCAGGCGGGGTTCGACCTGTCACATGATGTTTAGTTGGTGCATCTATATGATACAAACCATCTACTTTGAAGTTTTTTTGGCCGATATGTCGAATTATGGGTTTGAGTTTGTGTTTGACGCATGACGCATGTCGACATCAGTCAGATATACACACATAGATCTCTATATATATATATATAAATACATGTATATATCGTGTGTTTTGTACATGTAAAGACTGTATACCCAGACATGATAGAGTTGCATGGCATGCACTGTTTTTGATGAACATGGCTGGTATGACATTCATGGCATTTTTAATCTAAACCGTTGCAACGTGGCAGGACTCACCTTCACGCGGCAGCTCACCATGGGAGGCCCTGTTTCATATAGGCATGCTGGGCGCATTGCGCTCGCGTGCATCGTTCCTTCATATATCATGTAGACTTGGACTTCTATTTAGCCACCATTTCCACTCAGCATATTGCAAGCGAGCTGTTGCCCAGCCTGCTTCATATATCTTTTCAGGATGAATGTTTGCATCATCCAGCAACTGTCCAACATGTCCACCGTTTGATCAGAGACGAGCCACATGCCTTTGCATGCATATTAGAAATCCTCAAATGATATTGGAACTGGCTTTGAAAACCATTATGCCATGCTTTTGGTATAGAATTCTCTCTATCCCGGAAATTCAGTTTCATTCGTCCCGCAGGACCAGCTTGGACGCCATGTGGCATGAGGCGCACCTGGAAGCGAGTTGCATGCGCGTTGCATCTGAGCGTGCTGGGCACACATGCTCGCACGAGTCATTTATAAATATATATATACTTGCGGTGCATTCCAACAAGCATTGCATGACTCTCACTTTGTTGCCTGCATGCTTGCACATATATGGATTGATGCAACTCGTCTATATTCCTGCATGGTTCAGAGAGGGATTTTCCTCAGAGACACCCACGTGGCCTGCATGGGACCATGGTGACCATAGGGTCTGAGCTGATCTCTGACCTGCGCCACACGAATGACTTCCTGAACCAACAGAGGAACATTCTCTCTGAGAAAGGATTCAAGGAAACTTTAGCAGGCCAGACACAGATGTTCGAGACCCGGCTGCTGAAATCGCAAGGTATGATTGGCACTGAGCATGCCAGGCAGCTTTCAGAACTCTTGAGTGGTGGTCCATGGGATGCTGACATGAAGGAGAGGTTGGGATCAGCTTTGAACAAAGCGCTCCTTCCCAAAGAAGGAGCTGTTCATGGAGCTTCTGGCTCACCCCGACGTGCAAACCAAGAGTGCCTCTGCTTCACAAAGTACCTCACAGCAAAAGAGCTCGAAGTGCTCGCTTCAGATTGTCACCATTCGACCAAGGTCGAAACATTGATGATGAGAATGGAAAAGATTGGCTTGCACTTAGCCACTGAACGAACATATGCTAGCATCGTTGGCTCAGCTGCCCAGCTGGGCATCAAGCTGGGTGCAAATCTCACAGGTGAGCAATTGTTGCAAGACTTGAAGTCGAGATTGCGGTCGTATCTGAAGCACAGGCCAAGGCTTGATGCATCCTTGTTTCTCATCAAGTACCCGGCCACGCCTGATGAACTGCCTGATGCGCTCTGGCAAAGAGCGTACTCAAAGGATGATCAGCCTGAGGGCAGGGACGTCCATGCAGAATACGTCAGGATGAGGAAGAGAAGGGATGCGGCCCAGCAGACCATGATGGCCACGGGCAGCGGTGGGGTCAGCACTGGACGCGAAGGTGGGGTCAGCCCCATGGAAGTCCTTATGCAGTTCATGCAGACCATGATGGCCCAGCAGAACGGCGGCGGCATCAACCTGCAGATGAACTTGCCCAGGAAGAGGCAAAAGGCTTTGGAGGACACTTCTGCAGAGAAAACGCCGCTGGCCTTGGAAGACAAGAAGGATGATCCCGAGGAGAAGGATGACCAGAAACAGGAGAAGGATGAGAAGAAGGCCGAGAAGAAGGAAGAGAACAAAGTGAACTTGTTTGACCTTGATGTCACTGCTGGGAAGCCAGCAGATGCCAAAGAGCATATGGAAAAGACTTCCAATGCCATGCAGAAGCGAGCTGAGGCAAAGGAGGCGGAAAAGATCGGCAAGCCGAAAGCAAAGGCAAAGGGCAAGGCGAAAGCCAAGAGTGCAGCGACCAAGGCCAAAGCCAAGGCTGTGGCAAAGGTCATTGCAAAGCGACCGGCGGGGAAGTCTGATCCACCCGGAGGAGGGCATGATGATGCTGATGATGGAGACCTGAAGCTGGGATGCATGAAGTGCCGAGGGGCACGCAATGGATGCATCCAGTGCCGTCGAAGCAGCTACACAGGCCGCAGAGTGACCCGAGCAGAGTGGGTGCGTATCAGCAACAGTGAGGGATACAAGTGAGCCCATGCATTCATGGCATGATCTTTGAAGATATTGTATCTATAAACATTTATTTCAATATATACATATATATATATATAGGGCTTGCATCCAGATTCAGCCAACTTGCAAAAGCCGTTTCTTTGAAACATGTTGCGGAGAGCTTGCAATGGGCCAAATTGCATCCATGAGGGGTGTTGTTTCCACAGCTGGCTTTGCTAAGCCAGACCGCACATGAGGGGTGATGTTGAATATGTTTTTGAAAAGCCATTTGCGGCCTGCAGTGCAAAAAAGTCAGGCGCATTGTGTTGGTTGCACATGTGTAACCTTGGTTGCCGCTAGTTGTGGAACATGGGATGGGACACGTTCAGATCAGACCTGCGAAACGTCCACGCATCAGCCACCTATATATAATGCATGGTGTCAACCCCATGGCTCAATGAAGCATCAAGACAAACATATCCCGCTATCCCGCTGTCAAGCAAAACTCTCGCTGGCGTCATGAAGCGACCTGCCGCAAAGGGCACCAAGGGCTCCACTGTCATGAAGACCGCCGCGGTCATGAAGGGCATGAAGGGCAAGATTGGCATGAAAGGGATGACGATGAAGCCGATGAAAATCATGAAAGCCACGAAGAGCACGAAGGCTTGCATGAAAGCCATGAAAGCCATGAAGGCCATGAAGGCTTCACCAATATCCAGACACTTTGACCGCAGTGGTGAGGCCAATCAAGTTTCTTTGAAGCTTGGTTCCAAGTCTGGAAAGCAGCAACTCCCAGAGTCTAGTAGCACAAGCAAGTCATGCAACCTTGTTTGTTTCGTTGACGAGACTAGTAACACCGTTTTTGCTCTTTTGACTTTGTTTGCATCATTGTCTTTTGAGCCAGTTGTGCAAATCACCAGAATGCTTCGCCTTCACTGTTGGAATATCCTTCTGGGTATTTGTGTTGGGTTGACTGTCTTGACCAGTTGTTTTTGCGGATTTGACTTGACTTGCTTTTTGCTGCTGCCTTTCCGTGATGGTAGCCTTTGTTTGCTTGAGTCCTTGCTGATTGTCCTTCTCAATCTTGCGGCGCAGTGGGTTTGTCTACTGGCCCTGGTGTGCGTGGCAGTCATGCATGTGCCTTCTAAGCTGACAGTGTGTCGTCGCTCTCACGTTGTTGTTGTCCGGAAGTCTTTGTGGCCGGATCTTCTTGGGGGCACTGGTTTGGAGGAAATTGGTTCCAAGTCATGGTTGGACAACATCTTGCAGGGCTTGAATGCCCGACAACTGAAGCCACCCATGCAGCAAGTTCGGATGCTCGCGCAAGATGAAGCCACTTTGCGGCGACTACAAAAAAGTGAATCGCTGAAACATCAGCTTGACATTATTTGTGGCGCTGCTTATAAGGCCAAGTTGTCGTGGAAGAAAATTGATCAAATTGACCCTGTTTCTTCTTCTCTCTCAACTGCTGCCCCGGCGGCTCCTCCTCCTTTGCCTGAAGTGCAAACATGGAGGTTGCGTGCTCGTGACTGGAAAGTTGTGAAACCAGCAGCTACCGATGGTGACGCTGTGAGTGGAGAAAGGCATGATGCATTTCGCGATGTGGCTGATGGGGACCCTTTGTCGCACTTGTGGTCTCGCAAGTTAGGTGCCTATTTTGTGTCTGCGGTTGAGGCTACTCGCATTGTTCGGTCCGTTCCTGCCCATGCCCCTCCAGTTGGTGTTTTCACTCTTGTCACTCTTGAAGCAACTGCGCGTTCTGAGGTGCAACCGGTCGAGACTATTGTTGTCTTTCCTGACAATAGTCATCACATTTACAAGGTTTTTCTCACGCACCTCGGCACTGACAAGTTGAGAACTACTGCTTGGACTACGGTATCGCTTGCTTCGGTTGATTCTGTTGAAGTGTTGCTTGAATGGTGGAAAGATTTGTCTGATGGAGCTGTTTTGGCTGCCTTTGATAAATTTGTGAAACTTGCTTCTTCGCCTGTTGATTCTGATAAGGACTCCTTGGCCAACAAGGGCAAGTCCAAAGGCAAAGGCAAGACCAAACATGGTAAACTGCCTCACCGTTTGTCTGACACTTTGGTCGCGAATTTGAATTCACACGTGAGTCATATGCTTGGCGATGCCACTGGCCAAAAGCTGGCTGGCGCATGGACCGCCTCCGGCCACAATGTCAGGGCTGATATCATTCGCGTTTCTGTTCGCCTCCCAAAAGCGGATGCCCTTACCTGTTTGAAATCGGGAACGCAGCACAGTGCCGTTTTGGTTCGGGATATTCACACCATTCCTGAGGCGAAAGACTTGTGTTGCGTCTGGATTTCTCCTGGCTGTCCTGTCCTTGAAGGTTCTGCGGCCCACACTCGCCAAAGTTTGCAGTTGTATTTGGCTAGCTTTGCTCACCCTTGGTCTGTTGTGCGTACTCCTTTTCGTTGGGGGATCAGGATCCACAAAGATCATGAGAGAGAAGTTAAAGCCATTGTGCAGCCGCATGCTGTGTTTGTGCCTGCTGATCACTTCAAGTATCGTATTGCGCATGTTCCCCGATCCCTTGATCCTGCTGTTCTGGTTGCCACTCTGACCTCTGACTCGTTCAAGCCCTACTTGGTTTCGTCTTTCAAGGGAGTTGTGACCATAGCTGCGCCCTGTCCACCTGCGGACATTGTGTTTACAATTGCTGAGCTTGGTTGTACTCTGTTACTTCAGCATCTTCCTGGTCCTGCCAGTGGTGGTCCTCCTCTTGTCCCGTCCCGCCATGTTGAAGATGCGAGCCCAAAGCGAAAGAGTCGGCGAGCTGACTCTGAAAATGCTTCTGTTGGTCCTGACAATGGCCATGGTGCTGACACTCGGGGTGGAGCTAAGGGAGGGGTTCTTTCTACTAATCCGTTTGGTCCTTTGGATGATGCCTATCAAGTTGCTTTTCCGCCTTTGCCCAACGCTGGTGTTGCTCGGGAGCTCGCTTCGACCGAACCTGAGTTTGAGCTTGGAACCCTGCCTAATCTCGGGAACACATGTTTTGCGGCTGTGGCTGTCCGTTGTTTGGCTCACATTGTCAAAAAGTCGGATTTGCGCTCGTCTGTCCTTCAAGATGTTTCCTTGAGGCGTTTGTTGGATGACTTGTCGCCGGCCCAGTGGACGCGCTTCATCAAACATCATCACCTCGAGCATGGTCAGCAGCAAGATGCTGCTTTGTGGTTGCAGAAGTGGTTGGACTCTGAGTCGGTTTTGTGTTCGCATCTTTCTGTCACTGAACATGTTGCTCTTGAATGTGTTGGGTGCAGTGAGCCCAAGACAGCTGAATCAAGTTTTTCTCTTTGGCGCGTTCCCGCTCCCAGTGGCGGCTCTACTTCGTTGCAGAAGCTGCTTGATGATGATCAATGCTGTTCGGCCAACCCTGAGGTTGAAGTCTCGTGCTCATGTTGTTTTGCTGAACACGCGGAAGCTGTGTCTAAGCGTCTTTCTTTGAATGACTGGCTTCTCATTCAGACTCTGAGGGCTGATGTCAATGATAAGAAAAAACACACGGCTATTTCACTCCCCGACACGGTTGTTGTTGCTGATGCGTCTTGGGATATGCACCTTGCCGTGTGTCACTTGGGTGAGTCTGCGTCTTCCGGGCATTATGTTTTGCTTGTTCGTTCAGGTCACGATTGGCTGTTGTATGACGATGGAACTTGTCGTGTTGCCTCTGCTCAAGACATCTTGGATATGCCTTCTTCCTGGTCGTTTGTGTTGTATCGTCGGCGTTGTGAAGGATCGTCGCCGCAGTCTCCTGCTGTTGTTGTTGTTGTTGTTGACATCGCTGCCTTGCCTGCATCATGTGCTGATGCCGTTCCTTCGTCAAACCCTCCTGTTGCCCACCCCACGGTTGGTCCTGGCAGGGATGACCGCCCTGACATGCCGTCTGCTGACAAGCGTGCTGACAGTGTCAATGATTCCAGCGGCCCTCTCCATGCTGATTTGCGCAGCTTGCTTGCGGTTTTGTCTCAGCGGGTTGATGCGCTTGAGGTTGAAGTGCAATGTCTTCGGGGAGCTGGTTCCCTTCATGAGAAGCTTGTGTCCTTGGCTTGTCCGGGTTCTGGTCTGTCCGTGCCTGTGCGTTCAACTCTTGGCGATGCTTGTTCTCCCGGTGGTGACCGTCTAGGAGACACGGTTGCGAGCAACCCTGGCTGTGATGCGGATAAGCTTGTTGTTGCCTCTTGTCAGGGTCAGACCGGGATGCAGGCCCAATCCTTCCCTTGTGGCCCTCCTCCCCCGGTCGTTATCGAACCTGTTCCTTCGGACGCTTTACCAAAACGGAAAAAGCCAGTCGAAAAACAAAGCAGCAATCTGTCATCAATTCCTGTGGGCTCTTTTCCCCGTTCCACCAATCCGGCAATTGTGGCTGAAATCCTTCGCTTGCAAACTGCTGGCTTTGCTGAAGTTGCTTGGATTTTTGAGCGCTTGCACGCTGACTCCATTTTGCTCCCTTTGGCCCAACAGGCGCAAGACGTTGGTGGTTGGAAAAATCTGGGTGAAGCTTTGACTTATAACAGTCGTGAAGCTCAAACTCAACTCCAGAATGATGGCATCCATAGCCCAAGCGTCCGCTGGCTTGTGTTTCGCATGCTCCAGCGTGGGAGGTATAATCGGTTTGCTTCTGTCCTGGCGGCTGGTCATTGGGACCTCTTGCGTCAGAGTTTGGCTGTGTGCGACGTTCCTGACTGGTGGTCGCCTCCTTGGTGTCGTCCTGTCCATCGTCCGCATGCTGCGCAAGCTCGTGGTCGTCGCCCGTTGCTTCCTCATGAATGGCATCGCGCCCAAAGTTCCAAACGCAGTCGCCCCCCTGTTCCTGTTGCTCCTTGTGTTGGTGGCCCTGTCCGTTCGCGCAGTCGTTCCCGTTTTCGCGATCAAACCTTGCCTGTGCCGGTTGCTCAACCTGCTGTAGTTGGAGCTCGTAAGGTCTCTGTGGCTGTTCCCACCTCTTCTGTGAAGAACAAGAAGAAGCGCAAGGCGAAAGGCCAAGCTGATGTCAAAGGGGGTGAAACTGAATCTGGTTCAACTCCTTCCTTGTTTCGGGTTGCTGCTATGAATGTGACTTCCCTTTTTTCCCGTGTTGCTGCGGTCTGTGCTCTTACGTTTGGTCTGGCGTGTGTCTCGGAGACTGCTCTCACCGGTACCGGGCAAGCCAGTGTTACTATGCGACTGCAGCAGTCAGGGCGTTGTGTAGTTTGGGGTGCTCCTGTGCATGGTCCTGGCGTTTCGTCGTCTCGCGGTGTTGCCTTGATTGGTGGTCCTGGCGTTCGTCTTTCGCCGCTTGATCTCCCGGATTGCCTGTTGGATTATTGGGCCGATGGTCGTATTGTTGCTGGCAAAGTGTCTCAGCAGTTTGGCAAAGCGGATATTACTTGTGTTGCGTGCTACGGTCACACACATGATGTTCAACGCCGAGAAGACATGCTGAGCCAGATTGTTGGTTGGGTGCTGTCGTTGCCCGGTCATGTCCTTGTCGCTGGGGATCTCAATTCCTCTCTTCAGGATTCACTTGCTTTACACCAGCTCGTGCGGCAGGGTTATCGAACGGCCAATCCTCAGGAAGTTGTGACATGCTGTGCTCATAACTCTCACACGGGTTCCGTTATCGACCATGTCCTTTTTTCTCCTTCATTGTTGCAGTCCTTTGTGTGTGGGGAGGTTCTCTCTGCTGCTCCCTTCCCCACCCACCGACCCGTTTGCGCTGATTTTGATTTCAATCCTGCTCATGACTCTTGGAGTGTTTTGCAACCTCCTCGGTCTTTCCCTCTTTCCGAGTGTGTCTCCCGTTCTGTTAAGTCCCAGGATTGGTCTGCTGACTTTATTCATGTCTCTAATCTCCTTGAAGATGAACGCCCTGATGATGCGTATGCTCTATGGACCCAACTCGCTGAATGTGAACTTGCGCGGCAGTGCCGACTTGGTGGAAAAACTGTGTGCTCCTCCCATTTCGGTCGCGCTGTTGTTCCTGCTCTTAGGGTTTGTGATCCGCAGTCTCTTCGGCTCCAAGGTGATGTTGACTTTCGTCGACTTGAACGCGCTCGTGCTGGCTTAGCTGAACTGTGCTCCTGTTGGGATTCTTGTGTTGCTAACAATCACAGCCAAGCCATCTGGACAAATGCTCGTCGTCGCATCCTCCTTGTGTTTCGCTCTCATCCTCTCCCGAGCCAACTCCCTGGCAAGGTTGAAGTCCAAACTCAACTTGATTGGTTGCGGCGCACGATTGATCGGCGCAATAAACAACGTCGCGATGAAGTTTTGTCGGCCTGGCGCACTCGCATGCAAATGTCGCAGGCTGAAAGATTCAAATGGGCTAAGGCCAAATACACCTCCTGGCAAAACATTCACGATACCGTTGCTTGCTTTCGAAAGGTTGAAGAGATCTGGCAACCGATCTTGGCTCGACGCCCGGATGCAGCCCCTTCTTGCCCATCAAACTTCACCGAAAATGGTTTTGCTGAGCCTGCCTTGTCTAGCTCTCTCAAAAGTACGTTGCACCAGCTTGATATGCTTCGCATGTCTGGTTCTGATCTTCGGTCTGCTGTTGACAAAATTGCGGCTCACTCCGCTTGTGGTGCTGACGGTTGGCGTCGGTGTGAGTTGCTTGCCTTGCCCGCCTGTTTCTGGGATCTCTTGGCTCAGGTTTTGTATGGCATGGCTGCTTCTGGCACTTGGCATCCTTGTTTGCGCACGGTTGTGACTACTTTGATTCCCAAGAAAGCTTCTGTTGACTTTCTGACTGATCCTGCTGGTTTGCGTCCGATCTCTGTGGCTTCTGTGGTTTACCGTGCTTGGTCTGGTGTCGTTGCGCAACGTCTGCATGCTGTTTTGGAGTGTTCTCTGCCATCGTGCTCTCATGGCTTTCGCACTGGTGAGTCTGCCCAAGCTGCTATGGCCTCCACGTATCTTCGTTGTCAAAATGCTTCCTTGTCTGGTTGTCATGTTTATTTGGTTTCCTATGACATGCACAAGTGTTTCGACTCGCTTCCTTGGCGCAAAGTGCGTGACAGCTTGGTTGAATGCGGCGTGCAACCTGCGTGTGCTAGTGCTCTTCACAGTCTGTGGTCTGGTCTTCGTCGTATTTGGAAACTCCAAGGTCGTTTCTCTGACGCGTCCTTCTCCAGTACTAACGGCCTGTTTCAAGGGGACCCTAGCGCTCCGGCGTGTTTGTCTGCGTTTCTCTGCTGTCCTATTCGTGAGTTGGCTCGTCGTTTTCCTGAGGTTTCTATCTCGCTTTATGCTGATGATGTCCTGTTGTCTTCGCATCATCTGTCTCAGCTTCACGCTGCGCATGATTTCTTTGTTAGTTGGCTTCAGGACCAGCATGTCACCTTGAACATCGGTAAGTGCAAGTGGGCCAGTACTTGTCCAGGCAATGATGCCGTGAGCGCGGCTCATTTTCAAATTGGAGGCGTCAACTTGGGGCGTCTCACTATTTTGGAAATATTGGGTGGGCATTTTGATCTCGGCGCTCTCTGCGTTGGCTCTTCTGCTCACTGGACTGCGTTGTTGGACAAGTTCTTAACCATTGCCAAACGGTTCAAGTGTTTGTCAGTCGGGTATGAACCTCGATCTAGAGATATTGGGGCTTTGATGAATATGCTCACTTACTCTGCTATCGCTTGGGATCCTCTGAGTGCGGTTGATGCTCGCACACAGCGCATCCTTGTCAATGTGCTCTCTGGTGGTCGCACCAATACCCGTAGGTGCTTAGAAGTTAGTCTTGCTCTTCTCAGTCCTATTCATCGGTCCTCTATTCCTCATGCGCTGCTTCATGAACAGGTTGCGTTGTTGTTTCGGCTGGCAAATACCAATTTGGAATATCAACAGCTTTTGCAGTCCCATTTCCATTTATGTTCTGAAATGACTTGTCCTCCTGCTGATTCCTTTTATGTTCGGCTTCAACAGGCCCTTCAGGCTTTTGGGTGGAGGTGGGTTGCTTGGAATCAACTGGCGTCTCAAAGCGGACAAATGTTTCATCTAGTCTGCAAGACCATGGAATGTCGCCGCAGAGTTATGTGTCAATCCTTCGCCCAGGCCTCTGATATGGCTGATGTGATGAAAACTTTTGCAAGCACACGTTTGCTTCATAAGAGGGAACTGCATCAACATAGCCTTTCATGCTTGCATGCTTTGCGCGATGCCATGCGCCATGTGTGTTTTCAGACTGCTAGTCGGCGCAGACGTGACATGCGCAATTTGGAACATGTTGATCGGGCTCTGTTGCGTCGTGTTCTGGGTTCCGATGAGGTTGCATGCAGTATTCGTTGTATTATGCAAGGTGCCACTCTCACTGCTGATCGTCTGAACCGGTCTTCTCGCGGTACTGTGTCTGCTACTTGTCCGTTTTGTCGCCTTGGTGTTGAAACCGAGATTCATCGTTGGTGGCAATGTCCGCGTTGGGATTATGTCAGGTCTTCCTGCTTGGGTGAGCATGCCCCTGTGATTTGCGCCCAGCTTGCTGCAAGCGACTCTGTCGCATCAATTTGTGGCATCCCCACTCTGGGTTTGTCAGCTTTTCTACAGTCAAAGTGGGTAGACATTTGTGCTTGCATGGCGGCTGTTTTGGGAGCTGCCAATGAACATGATCAGTAATTTTTTCGTTGGCTCTCAGTTTTGGCGTGCATCGGCACTGTGTCCGTTTTGTGGATGCTTTGTCCTTGGCTGTGCGCATTTCTTCTCGAATTTGATCCTTGTGATTCTTTTGTATAGCTTGTCTGGCTTGGATCTTTTGTTGAATCCGGGGCAGATTGCATTCATGCGCTTTTCCAGCATGATCTTTTGGCAACAATTTTGTGGGCCTGTGGCCCTTCACATGGGGTAACAGATTCAAGTTCTTTTCTTGGGTCCGAGATCCCTCATCTGCATTTTGTAGGTGAAAATTGGATCAACATGAAGGCCATGAAGGCCATGAAAGCCATGAAGGCCATGAAGGCCATGAAGCCGATGAAGGCAATGCGAGTCCGCCCAGAGTTGGCAGCGAAATGGAATGAGGACATGGATGAGGCATACCAGGAGTATGTGGATATGGTGGGCTACAACCGCAGCTTCCACTGCAAGCCAGCTTTGGGATGGCGCGAGTGCCTGGACTGAGATTTATTACCCATGCATGCAGTTGCATGCCAGCATTCAGAGATATATTGCATTTTTTGTACCAAGTATATGATGCTGATGAATACATACATATATATATATATCTTCCAGATATGTGATGCTAGTCCAACATACATGAGGATTATACAAAAATATATACATTGGAACAATTGAACTGAGGTGGTGGGTGATGCACATGCAGGAGAAGGGATGGGTCAGTAACAAGAAGAAGATCGTCGCCAACGTGACTGGCTGGACCCTGAATGGATGAAACTAGGTGCACCTATACCAACGTCCGCAGCTGGCACCATGCACCAACGTCCGCGGCTGGCACTGCATGCACAGTGGATGAAACACCGCATGTTGTAGCAAACTTTTGAAAATCACAGCTGTATATATATTCGGCTGATTCTGTTGGCTATACATGCAGAAATTCGTCGTAAACAAGCCTGTGCGACCGGAACAACTTGCTAGCCAAAAAAACATTTGGCATGAGCTATATAGAGCGATGCTTGAGGTCGTTGTCTTGAAATTCATCCCGTGTTTTACTTTAGAGTGTCCATGTGGTTCATGCTCTCGAATCCTCCTTGCTGCAGGTGCTCCTGCAGTCAAGCGAGGCGCGTGGATGGGAGAGATGCTCCTGCTGCTGGATGACATCTTCCACTTTAAGATTATATACGCATTCACCATTGTATTCAGTTGCATGATTTTGGCACGCAGTCGTGCAATCCATTCGCAGTCTAAATTTCACGCCTGGCATCGTTTTCAGCTGTCGGGTGAAGAATTTGGCATGATGCTTGCTGGGTGTTTGCTCGCAAGCTTTTCTGGACAAAAGAACATCAGGCATTGCAACCCATGTTGCCACTATATTTTCCGTGGTATGTATGTACATATATATATATATAGTTTTTACCTGTTCTATTTATGCATGAGATATAAATGACAGAAAAAAACAGATAGTGAAACTTTATTTTCCATGCACGGCATTCATGCAAAGATTGCATGTCGATCTCATGCCAACTAGACGCTGTTCTTGCAGAATCCTCGCGTTCCACATGGTTTGTGTGTGATGCTGATGCAGGGCAGCAATCTGATTTGGGTGTCATCTTGATGATGCTATGCATGGCCGGACACAGACGCACCGACTGGGATTGAAGAAGTTTGTGTCTGCAGCTGCTCTTGAAGATTTATGTGAAGAACTAGGTATCAAGGGCGGTACTCGGCGGACAGTGAAGAGAAAGCGACAGGCAGACATCTCTCATGTTACCCCATATGGTGACATCTTAGTGGAGAAGAACATCGCAGGCACCAAAATCTGGATGGTGCAACCCGTTGCCATGCTGTACCACATATCTCGATCATGCTTGGAATTTAGCAAATTTTTCAAGGAGATACTTTCACGAAAGCCATGCACCAGAGACCACCCCATCAAGGTCATCGTCTATTCTGACGAAGTGACACCGGGCAATCAACTTCGTCATCAAAACGCTAGAAAGATCCAAGTGTGTTACTGGTCTCTTGAATGTTTTGGCTTGACCAATCTCTCCAACGAAAGGCTTTGGTTCATTCTCAGCATTTGCCGTAGTGATGTTGTGAAGGAGCTTCCAGGCAAAATGTCGCAATTCATGAAAATCTCCATGCAAATGTTTATGGAGCCATATGACTTGCGCAGTGGCATCATTTTAGATTTTTTTGATGGCTCAAAGGCCACAATCTTTGGCCGTGTAAGCATTCTGTTGGGGGACGAAGCGGCATTGAAAGAGACTCTGGATTGCAAAGGAGCTGCTGGGACTTTTTTTTGTGCTCTATGTGCGAACATTTGTGACCACAAGTCTCAGCTTCACAGTCATGATACACGTGGGTACCTCCAGCCGAGCACGTGCCTGAACCTGGATCTGTTCCGACCAAACACCGACGAAAGCGTCATGGAAACGTTGCGCGAACTGAGCCGCTGGAAAGCAACTTTGCCAAAGACTCGATTCCAAAAAAAGGAACAGGAAGCCGGCTGGAATCTGAACCAGAATGGCCTGCTTTTGTCAAGGCTCCAGATCGGTGCGGCATCGTCCATCATGTTCGACTGGATGCATGTTTATGTGGCATCCGGAATATGGCAGCTGGAAGTCATGCAGCTCCTAACCGAACTGCAGCGTGTTGGAATCACGCAAGCGATGTTGCACCGAGAGCTGCAGGCATGGCACTGGCCAGAGCGGATCTCCTCGCGGTCCGTCAGTGGGCAAAAGATCTTCGCCAAGAAACAAGAGGGCGACAGCGTTAAGTGCTCTGCTTCAGAAGCCCTTTCGGTCTACACAGTCCTACGATGCATCCTGATACGTTTTCTGCGGTCTGGTCAATGTAGAGGCATTGAAGACCACATTGACTCATTTGTCAAAATATGTCGTGTGCTTGACCTGCTGCAATCCCTCAAACGAGGGCACACAAAGGCGAGCACATTGCACGAAGCTGTGGCTGGACACCTGACGGCATATCAAAAAGCTTATGGCACAGAGCGCTGGCTGCCCAAGCACCACTATTCACTTCATCTTGCAAGGCTCTACAGTTTTCACAAAACCTTGTGTTCGTGTTGGACGCATGAGAGACGCCATCGTGAAATAAAACGATACGCGTCGCAAAACCCGAACACTCATGCAGGCTTTGAGAAGAGTATCGTGGTCGATGCGTTGCACTTGCAACTGAGTGAGCTTGATTCCTCTTCTGTAGAGTCGTTTTCTGTCGGTATACTTGATGCAGCAGAGTGCACACTTCATGCACAGGTGTATTTCAGAGCTTTGATAGATGTGGATGGTGATTTCGAAGTTTCAAACACAGCATGCTTTCACCCTGGTTCTGTTTGCTCAGCTGATGATGTTGTTTTCCTGAAAATTGACGAAGAACCATGTGTGGGCCGAGTCAAATTTTTTGTTGGCTTGAAGGATTCTGCCGAATGCTGGGTATGCATCGAACACTGGACATCTCGTGGGCACAACAGATTTAGCAGAGATGACAGGGAGCAAACATCCATTCTTCCTGTTACATGCATTGTTGATGCTTGTGCTTGGACACCTCAAGACGATCTTTACCTCGTGGCGCCATCATCTTTGTTTGCTTGAATGAATTTCGGAACATTTCATGTTGATTTCAACAGCATGCCATGCAGGCTAGCTGTCGGATCTATATATATGTATGTACATTTAGATTTGCTGACAACAGCATGCATGCCGATTGAAAAAATCAACTGCGCTATTGAAATTTGAGGAAAACATATGGAAAGACATTGTCGTCAGAAGCCAGTGCGTGTAGCTACATTCAACTTCAAAATAACTTGAATAGAAGCTCTACAAAAAAGTCTTGGCGACAAGACATTGCATGTATTGTATTATCGCGTTGTGTGGTAAACACACACAAGAAATTGGCCGAATGGATTTATACTGAGCATAGTTTGAGGCGCAATGACCAAGTTTGCTGGGTAAAGCTCGCAAGCATCATTTTTTCAACTGCATCAGGCTGCAGCTGATTGCCGAGCACCTGCAAGCGGCATGCTTGCACCCTTTTTGGAAGTGCAAAAGCGGACTGCGTGCCAGTCCTTCCACATATGGCTCATGGGAATTCTTTGCATCTATCATCGTTCTTTTTGAAGCGCATTGCGTAAAAATAACCGTGGTTCATAGCCTTTCCCTTTAACATTCATATATTTTACCAGGCTGCCACAAAGTGAATGTATTATTCACCGAACAGCCACCACGAGTCTATGGCCATGCATATTTGTTTTTTCTTCGGTCCAGTGGGTATACTTGGCATACTTAGCAAGTGGATTGGAAGCTAGTGATAAGTCGGCCAGGGCCTACTTAGTAAGTCCGCCGGGGCCTACTTAAGAATGGTTAAGGCGCCACTTATAAGTATGCCAAACGATTTAACAAGTAGATAACAAGTAGGCCCGGTCTACTTAACAAACCTGCCAACATAGTTAACTAAATGGTTTTAACTACGCCAAAACTAACTTATATAAACATCAAAAATAAGTATCCCATCCACGTTTAACAAGTCTTCCAACCAGCCCAACTACTTAACAACCAGGCCGCCCATCCAAGTACTCGTTGCAGAACACAGCGGAGGAACCAATTCGCGCATGAAACGACCGCAGCCACAACCGCCGCACAAACGAGGTACCTTGCATCGCCGGCTGCAGCCACTTTACATGGAAAAACGGACGGTTTCGTGCGCCGGCTTCCTCCCCAAAACCAGCCCCATGCAACGTTTATGCAGCCAACACAATGCATTTTGCAGCACGACTTGGCTAACCCGCATCCGCACAGAACTACGCACACAGGAACAACCACTTGTTGCAGAACACAGAGGAGGAAACAATTCGCGCATGAAACGACCGCAGCCGCAACCGCCGCACACACGAGGTACCATTCATTGCCGGCCGAAGCCACTTTACACGGAAAAACGGACGGTTTCGTGCGCCGGCTTCCTCCCCAAAACCAGCCCCATGCAACGTTTATGCAGCCAACACAATGCATTTTGCAGCACGGCTTGGCTAACCCGCATCCGCACAGAACTACGCACACAGGAACAACCACTTGTTGCAGAACACAGAGGAGGAAACAATTCGCGCATGAAACGACCGCAGCCGCAACCGCCGCACACACGAGGTACCATTCATCGCCGGCCGAAGCCACTTTACACGGAAAAACGGACGGTTTCGTGCTCCGGCTTCCTCCCCAAAACCAGCCCCATGCATTCATGCAGCCAGTACATTGCGTTTTGCAGCATCACGTGGCTAACCCGCATCTTTCTACGCACGTGGCGACAGAGCATGACAACAATCATGCAGCCATTCCAATGTGATCCGCAACCAGAGATTCAAGAAACGCATAGAACTACGCACACAGGAACAACTACTCGTTGCAGAACACAGAGGAGGAACCAATTCACGCATGAAACGACCGCAGCCGCAACCGCCGCACACACGAGGCAGGTACCTTGCATCGCCGGCTGCAGCCACTTTACACAGAAAAACGGACGGTTTCGTCCTCCGGCTTCCTCCCCAAAACCAGCCCCATGCAACATTCATTCACCCAGTACAATGCGTTTCGCAGCATCACGTGGCTAACCCGCATGTATCTACGCACATGGCAACAGAGCATGACACCAGTCATGCAGCCATTCCAATGCGATCCGCAACCAGAGATTCAAGAAACGAATAGAACTAACACACAGGAACAACCACTCGTTGCAGAACACAGAGGAGGAAACAATTCGCGCATGAACGACCGCAGCCGCAACTGCCGCACACACGAGATACCTTGCATGGCCGGCTGCAGCCACTTTACACAGAAAAACGGACGGTTTCGTGCTCCGGCTTCCTCCCCAAAACAAAGCCCATGCAACATTCATGCAGCCAGTACAGTTTCGCAGTATCACGTAGCAAACCTGCATGCTGCATGTATCTACGCACATGGCGACAATCATGCAGCCATTACACGAGCGTATTGTTACAGTATGCGATGTCAAGTCTCACACCACAGTCTCACACCGCCCTTCATTGAGTGTATTCTTATGTGAAGTCAAATCTCACACCACAGTCTCACACCACCCTTCATTGAGCGTATTGTTATGTGATGTCAAGTCTCACACCACAGTCTCACACCACAGTCTCACACCAACCTTCATTGAGTGTATTCTTATGTGATGTCAAGTCTCACACCACCCTTCATTGAGTGTATTGTTACAGGTAAAAGTTTTCCGTAACTCGGAAGATTGCTTCACAACTTCCTTTGAGAATGTTAAAAATCATGATAATATAAACAATAATAATAGTAGTAATAATTTATAATAATAATGCTAATCAATAATAATAATAAATAACAATAGTAATAAATAAAAAATAACTAATAATGATAATATATATATATATACACTGTAAATACTTAAACGGATGTACATACATACATACATACATGCATACATACATACATGCATACATGCATACATGCATACATGCATACATGCATACATGCATACATACATACACACATACACACATACACACATACACACATACACACATACATACATACATACATACATACATACATACATACATACATATGCATGCATGCATGCATGCAGACATACATACATACATACACACACATACACACATACACACACACAGATATGCATAGGTATGATTGCAACAACCATACAGTGTGCTGTTTTTTACATTCCAGGATGCATTTTTCAAACAACATGGTTGTTCGCATTCTTTGCCCAATCCGCTGTGTAGTGGCATCAATTGACGTGAACTGATTGGATCCGCATTGCGCTCTGTAGCTCTCGGTTTGGATGAACTCAGCCCGCAGCCGCATAGCACAAGCGCTAGGGGGCTGTTGAAGGCCTAGGTCCAGCCATGTTGCGGTGGCCGCTCATTGTGGGCTTTATCGCGGCCTCTGTAGGGTGGGCGCAGCGTCTTGTTGAAATGGCAATTTCCCACGTCCCACCACTAAATTGACACAGACTGTCCCCGCTATTGCGCAGGGACTCAGGCACAGGAATACTTGAATCTGAACAAAACTTTTGGGTCAGGGCGATCTGATTCCTTTGCGATGCAATGTGTTTTTTCTCCCATATGTAACCAGAAGTGACTTTCTTCCTCTTGGGGATATTTGACATTTGACACAAGTCCGAGGCTTTCGGTAGATCGTAGCCTTCTGGGCAACACCTTTGATGGCATTGGCGGATTGAGCGGCGGAGGTGCCACGAGTGCGACTTTGAAACCAATGGAGCGTGGGTTCTTGAAGGGAAGGTCAGCTGTGGATCATTGATGAGTGATCCTTAACTTCAGGATTAAGATCGCAATTGACATCCAAGGTCTTGCTGCCTAATTATGCCGAGCCATCGCGCTCGCAAATTCTGGACTACCTCTTCAAACCCAATTTTGGTGCTTCTTTGCAGATCCTCAAGGCGCAGTTCTGAATCATTGAAGGTTTGGGGACGTGTCATGGGGAGTCATTCTTGCAGGTTGAGATTGGTGGTGACTCGCAGTCTACAGATGGCACTGAGTCATCCCACATGCATGACAGCAGCACCGTCAATCTCCACACTGGCTATGAATGGTGGCTGATGAAAGAGGCGCACGTGCAATGGGTTTGACATGGGCAGAACAGTGCATTGCAACGCAGAATGCACTTCCATATGGACGTTAATAATATGTTGGTTTCTCTCTTATCTGTCATGGGTTGAGGCCAAGAAAAGAAACCCGAACATCAAACTTTACGGCTTGGCCTGGGCCTTCCCATCGTGGGTGGGCAACAGCAGTGGCGATCCCTTCAAATTTCCTGAGCTCACAGCCCGGTATTTGGTGGAGTGGGTGGCCGGAGCAAAATCAGAATATGGGACACATGGCAGCAATTGGACGGTTCGGGGGATTTCGGGGGTCACGGAATGTCGGTCGGCAGTTGGGCGATGAGAAGCCCATTGCGTGGACTGAGGCTTGATGTAGACTATTTGGGCATTTGGAACGAAAAGGCATCTGATAGCAACTTTGTCAGCCTCCCAGACTCCCCGCTGGCGGCAATGTCAGTCATTGTATGATTCATCTGATATCAGCCACAAGGTGCAAGTGCTGCGCAAGACCCTAAACCAACGAGGTCATGAAGGAGTGGCCTGGGGAGTTGATGGAACTGATGTCTTGAGCTTTTTTCCCTCAAGGAGAGGGGGAAGAACTCACAGTTCCATGCTTTCGAAGATCTGTGGATCTTGCCAGTCTCTCAAGACTTTCCGCCAGTCCTTTTCTAGGAACCAAGCTGGTGGTGAAAGATGGTGGCCTGGACATTTGCAACACATTGCTGAACGACAAGAAATATGCAGATGCAGTGGACATCATCGGTTTACACTATCCTACTGACTTCCAAGACTTCTCAGCATCGGAGCTGCACCTGAGACAACTGACAAAGCACTTCTGAAGCATGTCCCAACAATTGGGACTTCCTAAAATGGGGGACAGCCATAGAAGTGGTTGAGACTGTCCCGATATTTGGGAACCCCTGAGCCGTCCAAAATTGGCAATCTAGTTTGAGGGTCACCCTCAATTTTAGGACACACACACACACGCACCGATGGCTGGTCTCCCAGAATGCTGCATCCCTTTGAGGCATGCCAGCGTTTGGAGAAACCAATCTGGGCCTCAGAGGAGTCTTCATCCTACGATGATCTCAATGGAGCAGCGTGTTGGGGACGTGTGATCAATTCTCATTGGGTCATCAACAAGAGCCTCGGTTTGGCATAGTTGCCCCGGGAGTAGCATAAGTTTGCAACACACGTTCTCTGTGTGTCAAGACATGGCCTCGTTCCGGATTTGTCGAGATTTTCAGAAGAATTGCTATTCCTCTGGGAGGGAGCTGCACATTGAGAAGTGTGCCCAACTCAGGATCACATCCTCCATTATGTGGAACCTGGTAGGCCAGATCAGTCTCTTTTTGTGCTGTTACAGTGCTGTTACCACTTCAGGATTCATGGAGAAGGGATGAGAAGGGTGGGTTGGTCCCGATTGGACCTGATCCTGGCTTTTCATCCGACGGCTAAAGCTCAGCTGATCAATTTCAAGCAGTATGTGTATGTGTATATATATATACACTATGTGGAAGTGCTATGTTCGTGCGATGTGCGCGCGCTTTGTGATTTGTGCTTCTTTGTTTCCTACAATGCATTGTCTATTTGCTGGAAGTTTGCTTGCGGTTCGTCCAGGTATTGGTTTACGTATAACTGAGGAAACGCAGAAGCAAAAACGTCGAGACCATATTTTTGTTTCCCCCCGTGTGGTGTAACCACTCCATCAGAACCATCCTTTACAACCCGCAGTCACGATGGCAGGGGCATACTACCACGGGACCAACTGGTACGGCAGTTCCATGATGACTTCTGTCGAACCATGGAGCGGGCACTATGAAGTGAACCCTGTGATTTGGGCCACGGCGTAGCTAAACCGCACGACAGCCAGTGGAAAATCGATTTTACGAACCAAAGTACCAAATCCATCCAAATGGCAAATCCCATGATTTCAGTTTTGAAGTTTTTCTCATAGCGCAGCTTCAAATGAGGCATGTGACTCAGTTTACGGAGATTGGGTGGAACTACTTATTGAATGGCACTGGGTCTGGCGAGCTCCCCAATGGCGGCTACTATGCCACGTGGGTGGATCCAAAGTCTACTGATTTCACCATGAACATTGTGAAGATTTCGCGCGCTTGGTCTTCAAGGAAGGGGAAGGGATTCTGAAGCCAGCGAAGCTAGCACTTCTTGAATGGTCCAGCCAAATTATATGCATTCCTTGTCTAAAGTGCAGAATTTTGCCAAGAGTCAAGACGGATTCCAGACGAAAGCGCCGGCTACTTCCTTCCGCTCTCTCAGCCTCATCCGAGGTGACCATGCGATGTGCACACGGCCCCCACTTCCAAACTTTCAAGTGAAAGAGGACCTTTTTGGGCTTTGTGAGAGATTTCCGTTCAAGCAACAAGGGCTTTGAGCCCGGTATCACTTCGCAAGATCTATCACTGCATCAAGTTTCTTCACTTGTAAGGAGGGAAGGGAAGTATTACACATATTCATTGATTGAATCCCGATTTAATTGTGCCAATCTGCCCAGGAAACTGTGACCATACAGTTGGCCGCATCTATGAAGGCCCCAGCTGAGTTGCAGGTATGGTTCCTTGGCCCAACCAAAGTGTGCAGAAGCTGTTGAGATTTGCAAGCCTACTCCGTAGCATGCTGCAGCCTTGGCCCTTGAGGTATTCCAATTTCGAGACTTTCGATCGAGCCCCTCCTATGTTGCAGAAATCAACTGTGAAGGTCACGGATAATCGCTTCAGCCTCTTCGTGCCGATTGGAAGCATGTTCACTGTCACCACCGTGACCAGCGGTCATAAAGGCAGTTTCGATCAGATTCCTTCGACGTCTCCATCATTTCCATTAGACTATGCTGACGACTTCCAATCGACGCCAGAGTCGCAGAACGCGAGGCGGGTGGTCTCGCATGTGGTTGAAGCAGATGAACCGAACGGCACAAACAAGTACATTTCTGGCAAACCATTCTGAAGACTTGAAAGTGCAGGCTGTTCTTCTAGCAACGATTTTTCCATGTTTTTGTGGGTCTTTTCATTGAGTGAAGCTGCGACTGCTTGGCACTATAGGTGGTTTGCAGATCAGATTGGTGCCTTTGAGATTCACCCTTCCAGCGATGGCAAGAAGAGCCTGAAGCAGATGGTCCCAGAGCTTCCCATCGGTTGGAGCGATCAGGGCACCAGAGGTCCAATGACTTTGATTGGCATGAGGGAGTGGCAGGACATCGAGGCAGGGGGAAACGGGCTGCCTGGTTCAGGAGCGGCAGGAAGATGCAGGAAGCACACAATATATATATATATGTGTGTGTGTGTGTTATATGAGTATATATATATAATAGAAGAGCCACTTTTAAGACATTCGACCCTTCCGATCATCATGACCAAGCGCTTGGGGCAGGGGATGCTATTTGAGCATCTACTCGCAACAGAACTCAGTAATTAGACCTTGACCAGATTGCCCTGTCAGCAGCACACCCTTTGCCACTGTCCTTCGGGATGGTTTCATGTATCAGTCCCGCCAGCTGTGTTTTTCCACTGTTAACGTATCCAGGTCAAGGTGGACTTCAAGCTGCCAGTTGCTCATAGTACTGGCAATGCTGTCAGTGCCTCGACTTGCCCATCAGATGCCTTTCCCGTTGACCTCACCGACAAGCAGTGCAATGGGCTTACGAAGAGTTGCTTGGCCAAAGGGCCAAAGGCCACTGGAGTCCCCTGGTCGTGCAAAGTAGTGAGGATGTCAGGGCACTGGCGCCCTGAAGCGGTTTGTGCTTGGGGTGGCTTTGGTCCATGGCTTTTGTGCATCAGTGTCTCAGCCTACTTTAAGGAAGGCTGTGGCTGTGTCCAGTTTCTCTCCAGTTCTGTCCAGCGGATGTCAGTCGAGGTGATGCGTCAACTCCAACAGCCTGCCGGGAGGCGTGCTGCCCCCTGACAGACTTCTGCAATGCCATTTGCTCAGATCTTCCATGACGCCAGGTCCTTTCACGGAGCCTGTATATTACTTGTTTCACAGACTTCACAGACCGGCACTTTTTCTTTACTCAACGTTGAACCATGTTGAACCTTTAGGTTTGGGAATGGGATGAGTCTTCGCAGTCTTGCTGGTTGGGCTACGTGCGAGATCCATCCATGTGCAAGGTTGCGAAAGGCCTGCTGGAATCTCGGTAAGCTAGTCCAACATCCAACAACTACCAACATCCGACAACTATTTCAGATATTTCAGATATTTCATAATGAAGACGTGTTGCCCTATGTCACCTATGTTGCCTTGTCTTTTCCATCTTTTCCTGCCAGTCTGGGACTGGAAAGGCCTTTACGTTTTCTGTCACTTTGGAGAGGTTTTAAATCGCAATTCCGCCACCTCGAGAGATCCCATGCAGCCTGTGTGGCAGTGCGTGTGGATCAAATGTGGGAGAACGGTGTGGTTCTATGCACCTTGGCATATTCAGTGCTGATTTTCTAGGCAAAGCCGGAGGCAATGCAATGCAGGTACCAAGTGAGAGCCACCAATATGGCATTGGTATGAATAGGTGTCAAATTGCAGCTAGTAGTAGGTCAGCACATCAGCTTTCCTCGGGTACATGATTGTGGCAAGCCGTCGAACTCAACTTGGTCAGACTCAAATACTTCCTGGGCCATGGCTAGGCTAGTCGGCTAGTTGCAAAGGATTTAGATGGGCTTGAGCCTCCACAGACACAGAAAACTTCAGGATGAAGACCTGCATGTTGATATATATATATACACGTTAATTAATCATCTTGAATATTGTGGCCGTATTGCCAATCTGACTGTGGCTCGTACATTCATGGATGTTTATGGCAGGACGACTAGGTCATATCTCTTGGCAGACATGGTGTCACATTGCAGGTGTTTACGCCGATGGCTACTGGCGGCTGTCCAACTCCGGCCCGGCTTTGCCAGGCAACGGTGCCATGTGACCGAGAGGGAACCCACTGGCATAGATAGAATATGATAGAATGGATCTGCATGGAGGTCAGCTTTGTGCCTCAGTTTTGAGCAACTGATCGAGAGCAGTCACTGAAAGCAAGCAGAGGGTTCGAAAGAACATGCTGATGCTGATGCTGTATGGAGAATATGCATCAAGGATGGATGAAGGATCCGACGTCTTTACGTTTCTTTTTGATACTCTCTCGCTGAACTCCACCCCGGAGGGAATTCTAGAATCATCAAATCGTAATGTGCGAAATATCACACCATCAACATACTTTGGTTTTTGGACCATGGCACACCGCAGCCTGCCATTCATGTGGAAAAACACCAGCTTTCTCCAAGTGAATGCTGCCAGGCTCACCAGGCATCCCAAAACCACCAGTGGCTGAGGGTCACTTGGCTGCGGCTCTGACATCTGGATGGCACAGCCTGGCGCTGGCTGCATCCGCTGAGAACAAGGCCTAGGGCTTCCAGCAGGGCAATGACAAAGGAAGAACATTTCAGGAGACATCCAGATTGTGCCTCTTGAACAGCTCTTTTTTGTCCCTTTTTTTTGTGCCAGCAACAAGGAGATGGCAACTGGTGTCCACACTCCATTTCCACCAGTGTGACGATTGAATTTTCCTCACGGCAGGTATGTGCCAGCGTCGATGGCAAAGAAATTTTTGCAAATCTGCAGGTGAGGGACCTCGACACAGGTTGCTTGGACGAGTCCAAGATTTTCGTCAGCTATGTAGGCCTTGAGTGTAACGCCCAAGTCTAACAAAATCTTTCGTCTTCTGGTGGCTAGTCCTGCAACATGCAACCAAAGCCACCGAGCTAAGGCTTTGCCGCTATTGGTGCCAACGAATGGTTTCCCATTGAGTTCCGCAATCTCAGCATTTTCAAGGTCAGATGTTCAAAAAACCCGTTTTGGTGTCTATTCACTTTTTCTTTGACCGGTAACTAACATTGACCAGTTTTGACATGGTTGGACTGGCCACTTACGCAGGTCTAATTAGGTTCTCGTTGCCGTTGCTCAAGGCAACCTCCGGAGGTGGTTGGACACCACCAAGCCGCTGCCCACGCCCGAGTGTGGGAGCAGAGCTGAGCGTACGCAACTGCAGCCGCAACGGCCTCTTTGCGGAGGACGGTGGTGGACAGTGGATGTCATGATTTTATATAATTTTCATTTATTTTCGTTTAATTTCTTAATTTTGTTCTGAATTGATTGCAAGATGAAACTTCTAGGCCCTAGGCGCTGACGGACAGTGGTCACAGCCTGGGGGATATCCATGTTTCTGGGCCCCCAAAACAAGTGTGTAAATTGGCGAATTGATCGCCATGGGCCAAATTCAAAATTTTCTAAGTTGGTGTGCGGGTATGAGCCAGCTGGCATCATGGAGGACCAAGGGTGGGAACTTGTGCCATCTTACCAGCTGAAGCACATCGACTCAGGACCGGCTCCGAAGGTCGAACATTTAAATTGGACTGGACATGACAGGATGATCAGGATTTGCCAAGTGAGGATTTCGATTGCCAGTTGAGCAACTGAGACGGATATTCCTTTCAGAACCAAGAACGCGCTCCAAAGCGGCGATGCTGGCCGCAGGACTTTGTGCTAGCGCCACTGCTCCTGGGCCTGTGGTGCTTGAGGTTTGCAGCTCGGAAGAAAGCAGCTGGGCATTGGGTGTGCCATCGAGTTGGTGGTTTGGTCAGTTTGGTCATCTCCAGCCAAGCTGTTGGCGTCGCTGTGTGAATGCAATGATAGCTCATCCCGGCTGCAAGCTCCTTTACTGAGGTGACTCTGCAAAAGTTGGGCAACTCTTTGTAAATGACTACACGCTCATCCGGAATAGGGTGCAGCTCGTGACTTCAAAGGCCGTGCCACCCGTCTGCAGAAGGCTGAAGTTTAGTCGTGGTTGGGGCTTCTGCAGCCATCAGGATGCCCATGGCCCAGAACCATCAGAACCAAGGCAACAGCAACTCTCTGGTAAGAAGACGGGTGAAGTTTTTGTTGGAAATTCTGGCGGCGACTGGAAACAGTGGAGTTATTTCCCGCATCTCAGCTGAAGAGATGCGTGCCACCTGTGATAGACATATGAGTTGAGTCCAGTCTTCATTTCGCAGATAGTTGTTTAACACTCGGTGCCCAGGAACACCAAACAGCTCCGCAACCAGTACGTGGCAGACACCAACTTGGGCTATCCCTTGTGTTTGTCGACATGCCCAAGGGCTCAGACATCAGATCACGAAGCTGAAGTACTGGTCTTCACTTAGAGCTCTCCGACATTTCAACAGTGGCATTTGTGATTTCATGACAAGTGCACACCTTTTGCAGTTACTGTAGATCTTTTCAGCATAGCCATGACAAGGTTGTGATCTGGAAATTGGATGAAATTGGGGTGTTCCAACTCAACACTTGGTGAATGTCACACGTGAATTTCCATGTCACGTCCAAATTCCCGTCTTCCATCAGCGCCATGGGCTGGAGTTCGAGATGCCATAGAATCAGCCTCGACACCCTGCCCGCGTGCTGATAAAGTCGTAGAGCCGTCACGCCAAAGCGCACTGAGCAATGGCCGTTTGAAATCCACTCGTTCGAAAAAATGCTGGGCAGCGACGAACACCAAGCGGAACCTGTTTCCTCGGCAACACTTTTGGGATCTTTAGGGGCAGCATTCTTGACCATTTTCGATTCCAGTCAGCTCTTATCTCTTGGGAACCTCCCTATCTCCCAACTCGCCGGCACAACTTGGCCCCAAAACTGGTCGTGCAACTGCATTTCGTCAGCTTAATTTCGGCAGAATTTGGCGAGCTGTGGAGAAATCATCGTCTTGGCTTGGAAGCCATTTGACTCCAGGTGGCGCTTAGTTACTTCCGGTAGCGTAGCACTTACTACCCATACATTGCCTCTTGAACGATCGGTGCGATCTAGTTGGCCGAGGCAGGGAAAATTGGCAAACTTCCCGGAGTTTCGTGATGATTGTTGCTTTGTGGTGCACCCTGATTTGAAGATTAATTTGAAAGAGACCATTTGGCCCAGATGCACACTGTGATACTCTCGGGGTTGGATCAGCGCCCCTTTCATTTGGCAGTGCCCAACAGCTTGGTCAGAACCATGGCTCCGAAAGAATCGACACCTTTGATGGATCCTGGCACTGTACCCGGCGTACCTGGCTGCAATTTTGGTGAAGGGTAACAGGGTCCAGGCGAGGGCGAGTCCATGTGTGATCATGTGTGATTGTCTCTCCACCTCACTGCTATGACTCGCCTCATGTTTCCTTCTTGGGAAGACCTTTGACCCTTTGACCTATTGGAATCATAGAGGTGAGAATTTTGCGCGCCGTCCTGGCAGGGAAAACAACTCGCCCCAATGGGATGTCTTTCCACACTTTCTCTCGCACACGTTCTCGCACGTGCGGAAAGGATCGCAGCTCAGGATCTTGCCGAGATCACTGATACTGCAGTCCGTCATGGTGCGGCCTCACAGATGGGCTCCGGGAGTTCAAACACATCGGACCTATGGATCTATGGGCTTATGGCTTATGGCCATTCATCTCTTCAAAGCCCGAAAGCGTGAATTTGAACCACAATCTTTGAATTTGAACCAAAATCATTCTCCATGACGTTTTTTTCCATTTGCCCTCAGGGCCAGATCAAGCTCACAGAGGTAGCCCCAACAAAAACACCTGGTAGGAAAGGAACAGATACTGCAAGAAAGGCCGAGCGCCGGACATCACGTCAGACTTTTGATGTAACATAAGGCTTATGTGACATGAGTTGGAATGGCTGGTGTCTTGCCAAGGAATTTACTTCCTGTAGCGGAGGTTTTGGCTTTTTACATGCAAGTCTTCTAGTCAGATACTACCCAGTCTAGCCTGCGAGGCTTCATCTCAGACATGCTTAGGCCACGAAATGATGCCAGTGTTCCATGCCTTGCTAGACAAGATGGCTAGACAAGATACATCCACTCAACCTGCTGAGCTGGTGAGTGAGGCTTCATCCGAAAAGTCTTTGGTATCCTGGGAGCTCAGCTTGTCGCTACCTCTGTGGTAGCTGGCCACCTGGCTGTTTCATCCCCCTGTCCGTGTCTCAAGGTTGTTGAAGTTGTTTAGTCATGTTTAGCCTCTGTTATCAAAGATTCCAAGCATCAGTCGTTTCATGATCAGGGTACAGGAGGGGTGCATGTGTCAATAAGATTCAATAGGGATAATATCACCGGGATATGCTATATAATAAGAAGAGAGATGACAGGCAGATACGGCAAACATCTGCAAACCATGATGAAAGAAGTTGATACAAGGGCAGCCCATCCTTGTATCCATCCATTCTCGGGAGCTGTTGGATCAATCATGTCGATGAGAAGTTTGCTTCACAGGCTGCACGGCGCTTTAAGCACATGGTCAGGTTCCATGGTCATAGTGTTCATGCGGAACCAGTGCGAACAGTTTTGCCTTGTTTCGCTAGGTGAAAGGGTCAACTCCGAATTTTATGTTTGAGACTTCTTGACATTGCTCATTCAGGTTCCCTGTTCTGATCCTTACCATATAGTCCCTTGTCCTTGGCTTTGATTCAAGGTTCAATCGCGGTCTTGGGTGCGAAGCTTGACGCTTGCTGTGATTAGATCCGGCCTCTTTCAGATAAAGCCCTGATCATTGTGGCGAGAGTCTCACGGGCTTTTCTGTAAATGCACCCACATACAGGAACCATCAAATTTCAGGATAGTTTGGATTTAGGATGTTATTTGGAGCGAGGTATTGAACAAATTTGTGTGGGTCGTCTTCAATCTTGTCAGGTTGAGAATTGTATATGAAGTGATGTATGCATATATATATATATGCATCCATATTATAAATAGACACGCGCACACATATGCATATACATATAAAATATTATACATCCATTATGTATATATATATGTATACATACAGACAGATGCAGCTGGATGACTTTGAACGTCGGAGTGTTGCTGCTGATGCACCATGCCCGGACCATGCCCTCTGCATGATGCTGAGAATTGCCGAAATCTTCTGAGGTGGTTTACAATCCAGTTTTGGTATCGGTGTTAATGGTGCTCTCCATGGTCCCGTCCTGAGATACACACCAAACCAGAAGACTCTGCCACGGGGGTCAGGGATAGCAAGAGGTTTGCAGTGATTTGGTGCTGTAAATTGCGCCGCCTGAGCTTAGCAGCTTAGGTGATGCTCATCAGAATGGGACTCAGATGGATGTGAGTTGACCCGAAGGACAAAGGGCATCATCCCGACATTGAGCAGACAGGGTTCATGTTTGCTGAGCTTGCTGCTTGTTCATGAGGTATGACCTGTGTCTTCATTTGCTGCCCTGACACTATGAGAACGACCCCGCAGAACTACATTTTGCAGCTTGGATTGAGCTTGGTCATGTCAGCAACACCCACAACCTTCCTTTCCTTAATAGCACCTGACATGTGAACGCATGACCGACAAGGAAGAATATTGTTGCACATTGACCTTGTTGCCTACTGTAGGTGTGGAAGCGGTTTCTTGTTTTGCTATCCTTGTTGTTTAACATGAGGCTGTCGCTCTTCACATTGGCAGAGGCGGTGTTGGTGGGCATCTCGACACAACAGCGAAAGTTGCTTTATCACAACTCGTTCCCCTGTCCCATTTCCGCAAGCAGTTCCAAAGTAATTAGGGGGAAGCACGCAATCAAAGACGGTAAAGTTAAAGATACTCAAAGAATTGCGAAGATTGTTGCTGCTGTTGGTGCAGTAGGAGTCCGTAGTCGTACTGGGGATTCACATCCTGCTCCTCTTCATCAGAATCACTATCACACTATCAGCATCAGGCTCATCCTCATCCCGAGCTACTAGCGTTACTAGCTCCTGTAGCTCACAAACATGGTGGTGATGAGGACCCAGTGGTTCAATCCTTTTGCCCTGTCCACATGATGACCAACTGAACCATCTGAACCATCTGAATCATTCAGACCAGGATTATTCATGCCACTGAACCATCTGAACCTCTACTGTTGCAAGGGGCTCCTGTCCTCCCGAAGCTGCTGGCCGTCAATGCTGAGGCTTCATTTGCGTCCAATACACCATCCAGTCTGTGCTTGTGACATTTGCCGTCACAGTAATTTGGCTGGAAAGATGTTTAGTCATTATGAGTCATTATGTTATATGTTGCCCAGTAGGATGGGGGTAGCTGGCTCATAAAAAACCTGATGCCGTACAAGCAAAATGGGCTATCGGAGCGGAGACCTGCTGGGTGACCTACAGGGCTTCATCTTCGGTTCTTTGGAAAATTCATGACTGCAATATACATATTATATAATAGACTGCAATGATCCTCAACTAAGGCTCTGGTGACTTTGGCACTCATGCTCTTCAGTCTCCAGACGACGTAGCTTGGCATGAAATCGAACATATGCTTCTCGGACTCTTCATTTTGTCTGCCAACAACTTTTGTTATGACATTTTGGTCCGTCCAGCTTTCCCAGCATGAGACACGAAGAAACTGGAAGATAACGAACTACGATCTACAACCCATTTGCCAAGATATCAATCCTGGGGTCTTTATCTCTGTAGGCAGTTGACTACATCCCCAAATCCATCCTGTTTTGCAACAAACCACTCATAGTGGCGTGCTGATTCCAAGGTATGACTTCACCGGCTTTCTTCCGTACATGTTCGCTGGTTGCCTGGTGCTGATGTTCATGGGCTTGGCCATCTCCATCTCAGCCGCCTTTGGGGCTGCAGGCCAGGCGACGATGGATTTGGATGGAACTTTTTGGAACTTGAACATTTTGCACTGTCTCAATTCCATTCAATTCCACTAGACAGCCCAGAAAGAGTCTAGAAATCCCACTCTTCCAGGCTAGTTTCTGTGAGACAGGCTGCCTGAATTGCGGATTCTTTTGTTTTTTACAACTGTGGGAAGTAGAGGGCAGCCTCCCAAGTGCTGCTACTATTGACATCATTGACCATCTCCAAACCGTCGCGGTGCGGTTATCTTGTCTGTGCATCATCTTCGTCGGAAGGCCAAGGGAATTTAGCGGCGCAAATATATCTCCCCACATACACATGCCCATACGCCATATGAGTACACATGCCTAGATTGCATTGGATTGCGCCGTCGCTGAACATGCTTCAACTGTCCGTGTTCAGGCAGTGGCGCCTTCAAAGTTCTGTACCTTGGCAGGCACTAACAACGCGATCCTTTCACTAGGTTTCTTTTTTGCGCACTCTTGATTCACGCAGGGTTTGAGGCATATCGGTGCAGTTGGGCAGCTGCGCGCCATCATGCAACTCATGTTTTTCATGTTGAAGAGGGTTCAAAACAAAGGCCTAGACACACAGATTGCCACAGATTAGCGCAGATAAGTGCAGATTGGCGTAGGGGGTTCTCAAGGGACCGGCACAGTTCACAGCGATAAGTGCAGCAGAGTTAACTCAGGAATATCGTGTACGCTTCGTTCGGTGCGCTTTTCTTCTCTTTTTACATTATCCTGGACACCCAGCTGATTTTGGGCGGAAAGCACAGCAAATTTAGGCTGGGGGATGGGGGTTTGTTCGAGGAAAGGAAACTGCAAACGTCCAGGGATCATCCAGCATTGTCGTGAGTCAATGTGGTTGGCATAGCCAGGAACATAGAGAATGATGAGAATGTATGAGAGAGAACCCCATTCCAAATCTTTATGAAATCTGAATAATATGAATAATGATTTGGCTCATCTGATGGTGATTCTGATTCCTTCGGCAGGTTCCAGTTGGATGACTACTGCATGGCGGAGTCTCAACTTAAAGTACAGTTGATCATGCATGATCCTGGGCCACTACAGGACCAATCAAGGCTACGAATAAGCCTTGATCCCTTCTATAACCCATAGATTCAGTCGAAACCGGAAGACTAAGACACGTGGATTTTGAGCTGCAGTGGTAGTCCCAACGCTTTCCGAGCTCGCTTGGTGACCAGCTAGTGTCATGTACATACATTTATGCCTTATCAGCTTCATGTATGCAAAAGAAATGTACATGCTCACAATCCCAATTTTGTGCTTGTAGTCCATGTTTGATGTTTGGCATGTCAATGGGGAACATCTGAGAATGTAACGCCCTTGGAACAACGACCAAATGTTTAAAGCTTGAGCCGAGAGCATCTCAGCAGTGTGAGGGCACATGGCCTTTATCATGCCTCGCCAAGTGACAGGAAAGCAAGAGCACAAGCAGACTTCAGACACATGTAGATAGACACATCCGGATGGCGCGGCCGCAGTCCACAGCTAAAGTAGCTAAGGCCATCAACATCTATTTGGACATCGTGCAGCTCTTTCTGTTCCTGTTGCAGCTCTTGGGTGAGCGGAAATGATCACAGCAGCTAGGCCTACAGGCTCCACTGGCCGCCAAGACCATGGGAGAGTGAAAAGATGAGCGGTGCCAGTCCCAGGCATGGCTACTGAATCCACTATTGCTGAAGTGCAAGGCATGTAGTTTGTCAAAGTCTTGCCACTCCATGAATTGTTCCAGTGTCAACTGCGTGGTTTCTTGTATATCGTTGGTCGTTGTTTTTGGCTCAACAGCTGAATTCAAGGCATTTGACTAAGTCACTTTTCATTGCAAATGGTGCTCCTGCCGTTTGCGCCAGCCTGACTGGCGCCCAACAGCTTTGTCCGCTCCAGTGTATGACCAGCTGGGAACACCAGGTGCATTCGCCCAACGGGCACTTTTGGTCCCTTCCTGTGCTGCTGCGAGCTGCGGCACGCGGCAAGCCATCAGGTTGCGATGACGAACTCAACACGGACAATGAGCAAGAGCTGCTGCAGAGAGGAAGGGCGTCCAAGCAAAAGATCAGAGACTCCAAGGAGATCAATACGGACAACGAGCAAGACCTCCTTCGGCGTAAAGACTTCAGACCTTCGGCGCAGGAAGTTCGACAGCCGGAGCAGAAGCTTTGGCAGAGCAGAGGAAGCTTTGAAGATAGCGGCCCCAGTGAATCCCTTGGGGAGTTAGTGCATTTTGCTGAAGGCCTATGCCGAGACCACATTGCAGTTGGAAGGAGGCACGACCGCTTGGGCAGTGTGCTCGCTTCCAGGGCTGCATCCGAACCCTCCGCAAGTGGAGAGACAAGTGCCGAAGACTCTGTGGATGAAGACCTTGAGGAAAGTGCAGACGGAAGCATTCGGGGTCCTTCGAACCATGGAGGTTTGCAGGTTGATACAACCATCAACCAACAGGCTTTGGCTTCAGGTGGTGCCAACAGCCATGTGGATGAGGTAGATACTGAGCAGGTCAGCCCTTCTGATACATGGGTGGATGAGCCAGAGCAGGTGGCGTTTTCCAACAGCGTTGGGCAAAGTGAGATTCCTGCCATTAGCCCTACTGAAGAAGCAACTAGATCCAATATTGAAGTTCAGGTGTGCTTGGAAGCTTGCCAGAAAGAAACATGGGTGACATTTTCTAACGCCTGAGAGTGAGTAGCAGAAGCATAATAAGTTCATTTTCCACATGGTCACATCCACCACAACCTTTGGCCCAACTCTAAGAATTTATAAGACATTTGAACAAACTTAATCTCTCTCTCTCTATATTTTTATATATATATATATATTAAAAATATTTCAGGACAGCATTCAACACGGACCCAACCCAACAGCATTGAACCAGGACAGCTTTCGGAGTGAAACCGTCTCGGAAATCTCTGGAGACTTGGATCTCTGTTGCCTGCGGAGGGCTGACTGTCGATTCACCCAACCTGGGCCCTGGTTTTGCGGCATGCAGGCCAGCAAACCTGAAAACACCGGAAACCTCAAAGCACAGCAGTGGCATTTTCCGGAATCTTTTGAAGCGGATTTAACTTTGATGATGAATCACTCATTGCAAAATGTTGCGTTTTTTTTTTTTTTTGGCTCAATCTGACAATGTAGATCAATGCCGTTATTTTTGGATATTGATTTTCATATTAGACTTTATTCCAAGTTTCCAGCTACTGGAACACAGGCACATGGTTGAAAGTGGTTGGTAAATGGCTGTCTCCCAAGTCCGATGCCCAGGGCGCAACTCACACTGACTTCGAGTGGAAAGACACGTTAGAGGTTTGTGGAAGGGAGCGCTTATGCCTCAGGCAAATCTCCGAGGCAGTGGATGACAGCAGCTTTGACAGGATCAGTGGATGTCAACTTTCTGATTGAAATGGGATCCGAAAAGTCCGAAAAGGTAAATGAAAGGTACAGAGCACCCTGTGCCTACCTTCTTTTCTTTGATAAGCCGCTCTAGTTGTGGCAGTCTAAGTTCAATCCCCACCCTGCTCTTTGTCCATCATTGAAAGATTGCAGGGGAAACACAATTAAGAACGATAGGTCATATAAATTATTATAATTATAAGGTTGATTAAGGATGATTGAGGTAGTATCGTTCATTGTGAAAGCGTAGCTCCCAGTGGCCTTGATGTTGCAACCATAAGGCCTCCATGCCCTTTGGCACGGCAGCCCAGCGCCTGCGGCCCGGGAGAGGGAGCGAGCGTCAGATGCCATCCCAGCCTTATTGGCCAACCTCAGTGGCCAGCTGCGGATCTACCACTTCCAGCTGAAGGAGAAGAGGTGGCGAAAATGGGTGGCACAGCATGGCAGGGCATGGCAGGGCATGGCAGGGTGATCCCACACGGAATTTATTGGCGAGGAGGGAAGTATGATTCCCAGGAATTGGTATCTATTAGTGTCTTTGTGCCACCAGATCTCAATGGTTTTCCACTAGTTTGAGCTGACTAACATTTTACAACAAGCCTGTGCTTATCATACCATCGAGTATCGCCGATAGTATCGCTATTAACATCTGTGTGACAGCTCCTTGGCACAGCCTAGTCACTAGTCAAGTAGCCAGCCTCGAACCCAAGTGAATTCGATGCAGTCTATACAATGAATCGTAATGTGTTTTGCACCCGATGTGGGGCAAACATCAGTTGTGGTCCTTTTTCATCATGATTCATGGCGCCCCTGCACCAATCCCACATGGCAGGTGTGTGGAATGCATGGATGGCAGTGTGGTGCTACTAGAATTGCTAAGTCGTTTGGTGGAGGTCCTGGATGCCTTAGCACCTGCTGAGTCCACTGTTGGAGCAGCTTCCCCTGCGCTGGCCGTTCCGTGCTTCCGGGAGTTGGTTTGCGATGCCCTCAATGAAGCACTTGGATTGCGGGGCTTCCTGCCCTTGTGCATTTCCTATGTGAATGGAAGCCCACTGGAAGAGTTGGAGACTGTTCCATTCTTGAGTTTCCTTTTCCTTTTTTTGTGGATCGGTGTCTGTCTCTGTTTTTGTTTGTGATTGGCTTTTCATGGTAACAGCAGCAATAAGAACAAAGGACGGCAGCGATTTGACGCTGGAGATGTCCTTCCATGCCCTCATGGCCATCCAGCTATGTTTGCTTTGGTTCCCACCAACCAGAGTAGCGCTGCCGGAAGAGACCTTTATCGACAGCGGTGGTTATCAAGCTGTGTTGACCTTAGCTGCTGACATCGTGGCTGACCTGGAAGATGCCGAACCGGGCACAGAATTCCTGGGCTTGGAGCGTTTAGGCCTTGCAATGGACATCCTCCGGCTGGGGATGAGGTCCAACGTGGGAATCGACTACGTCTGTGGAAACACTGGTGACACGGCGGAGGCACCTCCGGTGGCACCGTTGGCCATCCGAGCATTGGAGGCGTTGTCACGCGCGGCCGGCTCTTGCCATAGTTCTGGCTCTGGTGCGTTTCAACAGGTGGCCATTGCCACCTTGCCTTCAGCGGTGCGCTTCGTAGGAGCCTTGTTGCATCTCACGCCCATCGCCCGATTCATGAGCTTGGCCCACGTGGTCCATGCCCTTAGGGCAGCTCTCCAGTGCCGTCCTTTGTCACTTCCACTCACTGCTGCCTTCAGGGACTTGGTGCGGCGGGAGAGGTCTAGACATTGGTTTAGTCAGGGTAAGGAGGCTGCTCAGCTGCGAGGTGAGTTTTATCGGAGCCTTGATGGGGAGAATGTGCTGAATGAACTGGCGCTTGCAGCCACCGAGCGAGTGGAAGAGCTGATGGAATCCCTGCAAAAGAAACGTGGCGAAGGGGGACAAAGCTATGTTGCCTGCAAGTCGCGTGGGATGAAGGATGTTGCAGTGGAATCATTGGAAGAAGCAGTGGTCATAGGAAACTACTATGACAATGTTGAGGCTGCTGTGGTGGCAGTTTATGGCAAGACATCCAGAGTGGAAACCTGACTGAAACACAATCTTTTCTTGCCTGGCGAGGGGATGGTCCATACAGTGATACAAGATCTAGCGGTTTATGATGTCAACCTGTTACACGTTGGATGTTGTTTGCTCGTTCGACATGATTTTGGCCTTAGCTACATAGACTCCTCATTTCCTCAAGCAGACATGTAAGTTTCAGAGATTTTCAGATGGATTGCTTCAGGAAGAGATGGCTGAACTGCAAGAGCTTCGTTCCTCTCTTCGGCCCACGGCACCGGCCGGTGCCCTGGAGACCATGCGAAGACACCTGGAGCGGTGCTTTCCACTGCCACGGGCTTCCACGCAAGAATGATCACTTCCACGTTAGTAGTTGGCAAAAGGTGGAAGTGATCATCCAGTGATCATCTGCATTTCATTTGGAGGATTGAAAGGCCAGCATTGCCAGGCAACTTGGCCATCTTTTTTTCTGCCCGGAATTAGATAAGGCCCCCAATGCAGCGAGGCACAAACATTGAAAACGAGATCCAATCATTCCAACCCAATCAGTATTAGCTTCACGCAAACCAACTGACTGTTCAACACCAGAGCTACAAAACCTGTTGCATTGGGGGCCTTGAGAACGTGCGAACCCCACCACTCTAGGTCACAGAATCAAGCCATGGACAAGCCAACTACCTATTAACCTACACCACATTAGCATTTCGTTTCCATAGATTCCTTGCTCAGCAAGGAGTACATTCTCAACCCGATTCCTTCTTTGGTGACTCAGAGGTGTCAGAGGTGGGGTGGCGCCTGTTTTGGAGAGCGGTGTGCCTTCCCATGGAAACCTCACTGCAAATCCCAAGAGGCGCTGGTGGGCGAATCAGCCCAGTGGCCAAAGTGCCAAAGACCCTGGGATGTCACTCTTGAGTGGATTTTCGCATGGCCAACCATACTAGTTTGGACAGAGAATGATGATATATTGGGTGAATGATTCTTAAGAATTGAGATGATTGATGCATTCAATGTACATTACGCCAGGCAGCCACCTACGCAGCACTTCTGCAGAATTTTAGAACGCAAAAATCAAACCAAGTAGCCAAGTAGAATCAATCGGAGACTAGTGACGCAGAGCGGATGACAATTGAAGCCACCATCCCCATGGATCTCTGGCTTTTTTCTAGCTTGCAGCTCAGGCTTCGACAGTTTCAGTGCCAGGGGCGCAACAAGGGGACACTAGGATCAGCTTCATGAGCAGCCCTACCGTAAGTCCCAATGAAGCATCACTCGTATCTAGTCGTCAAGCAACAGACCATCCAGATGACTGACGCACAAACTGAAGACCTCCGGGTTGCCCTTGGAACTGGAATAAGGACCTGACCGCCTTTTCCGGCGTGCAGGGAGACCATTGTCTGGCCGAGAGAACTTCTCGCCTGGAGGCGGACTTGCGAAATGCCCAAGCGTCTCACCGCGGATCGCAGCGCGACTCTTTCAATCGTGCAGTGCCGCTAATCTTGCCGCAAGTGCCGGCCGAATTTGTGTGGTGTTTCCCACTTCGAGGGTTGATTCTGAGATTGTTACAGTCTGACTTCAATCTAGACGGTGGCTTGTCTCAGATGGCAATCCATTCAAATCAACCCTTGAGCAAAGCTCATTTTGAGCAACGCGTGTCAGAAAGTTCAGGCTTCCCATGTAGTGCATTGCCCGTACCGGTAGGATTTGTGGATTGGGCGACCGATACCGCGGACCTTGCACCAGTGCATTCCTTTTTGAAGCTGGCTCTACTTGGCGCTGCCCCAGGCACCCAGATGCTTTGCAGTGGCAGAGCGCACTAGTTCTTCAAAAATTACAGCAGGTAGCAGAAAAGTATGGCATCGCAGACCTTGTATTTGCTAATTTTCAGGTGCGCATTTTTTGTACAGTTCCCCGCGCAATACCACACTGATCACTCTCTATTCTAAACATTCTAAACCCTAGGGCCCTAGAACGTTTTTAGGAGCACTCTCCACTGGCAGATCTGGCAGCCCAGCTTCCTCCATCACTTCCATCACTTCGCTCCCATCGCTCCCATGCCGCATGGCCGCCGCATGGCCGCCGCATGGCCGCCGCATGGCCGCAGTGCGGTGTGTTTCTCAGGCCATGGCAGACCGGCTTGCCCACTATAGCCCACTATGGCCCACTCAACCCGGCAATTTCTCAATCAATCTGTAGATGTCTGTAGATATGGGTGGAAAGGGTGATGGCATCTTGCTGACATGCTTCGTTTTGAACTTTTTGTGTTTGAGGATTTGGGTCTTCCTTGTGCTGGTCATCCTGGCATTGTGCTTGAGAGGTGATGCTTGTCAATTTATGCAGAATGTATGTGAAGTCCTTGTTCTTATTCCTCTTTGAGCTGCAAAGAACGACATGACTCCGAAAAGATCAAATTAGTACGTGCCAGAGAAAGAGGTTGAAAGGGTTTTGAGATGTTGATGCACTCCACCAAAGTTGGCTGTCAACAGAGTTGCCACATGTCGCTGCCAGATTTGTCAGCCTCTCCTTGATTCCTATCGTGTCAGCTTTGTGGAGTCTGCTGTAGCAAGATCTTCTGCAAGACCAATGAGCTGGGCACCCTAGTAACACAAAATATCCACGGGTTGGCAATGAATTGAATAGCATTGACGTGGGTCCGTCCATCCCAACTTGTTTGCACCTGTGCCCTGCATAGTTACATAGTTTGAGGCTGCTCGAGGTGAGACCAACATGGAACACTGATGCGTCGCAATGGTTGTGGTATGGTTGTTGCATCACGTCTTTTTGAATGTTTGTTCTTGTTTTGATATTTCTGGAGATGAACATTTCTGTCATAGTTTATCGATAGTTTACCAGTAGTACCGCACAAGGCGGTGGCGGAAGTTTCAAAAATAGGAAACCTATGAGAGGTTGGTTGTTGTGAATCACGGATGGCAGAGCGAATCCACTGATGGACACAAAGGTGGTTGGAGTTGTGCTTTTTGGAATGGTTGCAATGGTTGCAGTGGTCACCTGGTCGGTCACCTCATCCACAACTGCTGGATGTAGTGTGGCGTAGTGCCGCTGTAGTTGCAGTTGTAGTTGTAGCGTGGTGGAGTTGTAGTTGTGGTGCAGTGTAATTAGTGTAGCGCAGTGGCAGTTGGATTTGTAATGAGTGTAGTGTAATGAACCGGCCTCGTGGGAAAATGCTGACAATTAGGTGGTGTACTGTAATTAGTGTAGTGTAATGTAATGTAGGGTAGTGTAATGTAGTGTACTCTAGTGTAGTGTAGTGTAAAGTAGTGCAGTTGTAGTTGTAGTTGTAGTTAGTGTAGTGTAGTGTGGTGTGGTGTGGTGTAGCGTAGTGCAGTGTAATGTAATCAGTGTAGTGTAGCGTTATGTAGTTGTAGTTAGTAGTGTAGTGGTGGTTGTAGTTGAAACTGCTACAAAACGCGCGCGTTTTGCTCATGGGCAAGGTGGAGAATCCCTTGTGCCTGCCACGCAAAACGACATCCGAACGTGCCAAAGTGCTCCGAACCCCTTTTGACTTCAAAATGTGCTTCGCACCACAACGGCGCGCACTTTTTCGACATCTCAGCTTCCAAAAGTGGTCCGAACCTGGTGTGTTTTGCACATTTTGACTTGGAAATGTGCTTCGCGACACAACGGCGTGCACTTTTTCGACATCTCAACGTCCAAAAGTGCTCCGAACCTGGTGTGTTTTGCACATTTTGACTTGGAAATGTGCTTTGCGCCACAACGGCACGCACTTTTTCGACATCTCAACGTCCAAAAGTGCTCACCACCTGGTGTGTTTTGTACATTTTGGCTTGGAAATGCGCATCGCGCCACAACGGCGTGCAATTTTTCATCTTTCATCTGGCCAGATGTGTCTGCACCCGCCGCTTTAGCGAGCCACTTTTCGACCCTCTGGAGGCACAAATCATTGGAAAAACACAGTGAATCGGAATCGCGACCTTTCTACTTTTTCGCGCACCTGCATCTTCTTTCTTCTGATTCTTTCTCTTCTCTGATCTTCTCTCTTCTTCTCTTCTCTCCTCTGGCTCTTCCCACCTCTGCTCTTCCATCTATCCATGTTGTCGGAAGTTTGACTTCTAAACTTCCTTCGATCAATTTTTGACATTGCTTCACCAGATTCTGAGCATTAGTCCACGAAATGCCCATGTGACATTGGCTGCAGGCCGTGGCGTTTGTCAACGAGGAGCCGGGGAAACGTATGGTGCAAGCTATCGCCAACCCAGCTTCGTGATACACCAGACACTTCTGGAATAGCGCACCAAAGGATACCAAAGAGCCAACCAACATTTTTTTGGGGAGTATCTTTCCCGTACTTTTGTATCGAGAATCGAAGCTCAACCATGATGCTATCGAAGATGTTCCGCTATTGGAGGGCCTTGAACAAATCCAGCAAACCCATTGGAGGAGCTGCCCTCAAGGGCCTACTGTTTGCAATATTGTGTGGTAGATCACTGGTATTGACATATTGACTGGGTATCGGTATGAACTGTACGATATGGTATTATCATGTATTACCAGTAGTACCGCGCAAGGCGGTGGCGGAAGTTTCAAAAATAGGAAACCTATAGGAGAGGTTCGTTGTTGTGAATCACGGATGGCAGGCGAATCTGCTGATGGACCGACAGGTGGTTGGAGTTGTGTTTTTCGGCGTGGTTTCAATGGTTGCAGTGGTCACCTCACCACAACTGTTTGGATTTAGTGTGGCGTACTGCAGTTGTAGTTGTAGTTGTAGTGTAGTGTAGTGGAGTTGTAGTTGTAAGTTGTAGTTCTAATGATCTAATGTGATGTAATTAGTGTAGTGCAGTTGCAGTTGAAGTTGCCGGTGTAGTTGTTTAGTGTAGTCTATTGTAGTGTATTGTAGTGTTGTGTACTGTAGCGTGGTATAGTGTAGTGTAGTCTAGTGTAGTGTAGTGTAGTGGAGCGTAGTTGTAGTGTATTGTAATTAGTGTAGTGTAGCGTACTGCAATGTAGTGGTACTTGTAATTGTAGTTGCTGCTGTAGATGTAGTGTAATGCAATGTAATTAGTGTAGTGTAGTGTTGTGTAGTGTTGTGTTATGTAGTGTAGTAGTTGTAGTTGCATGTATATTTGTAGTTGTAGCGTGCTGCAGTGTAATTAGCGTAGTGCAGTGTAATGTAGTGTAGTTGTAATTTTAGTTGTAATTTTAGTTGTAGATTTGGTGCTGGTAGTGGTAGTGGTAGTGGTAGTAGTGGTAGTGGTAGTGGTAGTGGTGGTAGTAGTAGTAGTTGTTGTTGTTGTTGTTGTTGCCTGTCTATCTACCTCATCTATCTACCTCATCTATCTACCTCATCCATCTATCTACCTCATCCATCTATCTATTTATGTATCTGTCTGTCTATCTATCAATCAATCTATCTATCAATCAATCAACCAATCAATCAATCAATCTATCAATCTATCTGTCTATCTGCAAGCTTGAAAACGCAGCTATTTTGCGAGACTTCCTCAATGTTTGAACTTGACAACGTCAAAAACGAAACA